TATTTAGGATAATGTTCGTATGCAAGATTCAATTTCTGGTCTTGTTGGTTGTACATCAAGTCGTGATGGTCGAGATTTAGTTTGGAAATTTTTACAAAAAAATTGGAAAACACTTGCTGAACGTTTTGGTGAAAAGAGTAATTTTCTTATTGCCTTCGTTGAGGTAAAATATTTATTTATTTATTTATTTACAAATTAATTATTATTTATTTAAAAATATTTAGTATGGTTTATCTGATTTTGCTGATGAAAAAATTGCAACTGAAATAAAAACATTTTTTGATTCCGTTAATACACCAATTGTTGCACGACCAGTTAAGAAAGTTCTTGAAACAATTCATATGCGTTCAGAAGTTCTTAAACGTGATTCCAAAGCAATTGAAGAATTTTTAAAACAACAGCAATAATTATTTTATATCTAATTTAAACTTATTAATCAAGATTACAGTAGATAAAAAAAAAGCAATATATATATATAATCTAACTTTTAGTGCAACTATTTCTCGGTTATTTTATTATTAACATTTCCATTTATCTCTTTTTTTTGTTCACGGTCATGCGCATATGTTCTGACAACAATAAAGGCTAGACAAAAATGTTTACTAAACATTAAAAGAATATATTTACTCATTAACTTTGCAATATTTATCTTTATACTTTTGCACTATTGATAATTTACTGAGGGAAATTGATATTCATGTGAAAAGAATACAAAACAAAATTAGTTATTGAAGATGAATATGCTTGCATTAATCCAGATCTTTTTTCTTTCTTAAATAATCTTACTTCCACTTTCATTCTAGCATGTTAGAATTTCTACCTTTAATGGCAGGAAAAAGAAATATTTTCTACTCTGTAATCTACTGCTTCAGATATGCACTATGAAGAATAGTACACTTTTTTATTATAATCAGAATAGAATAATAAGAGAACTACTCTATTGATAAAACTAATGCATGCTAAGTTACCAGAAGACTTGATTAAATGATAACAAAAGTGTGTCAAGCTTCAAGGGAGAAAAACTTTCTTTCTATTCAAATGGTTAATAAAGAAAAGGTTAGAAATAAAATTATAACAAATGCATGTACGCTATTTGAAGTGTTTTAAAGATATTACTATTCTTTTTACAGTTGAATTTTTTTTGTGAAAACTTCATAGTAGATCTAGGTGATAAACCGCTGTTACACTTTTTTTTGCTTATAATCTAAATTATTGATTTTATTTTAAATATATGATTGAAAGAGAGTACTGCTTAAAATTTATATAAATATGAAATCCAATTTTATTCAGCAAGACTAATATAATAATCCTCGAAATACACTGCGCTTAAATCGTAGTACCAAGACACTGGAAAAAAATTTGTAAGTTAAACATTCGGTTTATGTCAAGAATGTCCTTAAGGAAATGTCCTTTTGTTTTTCGTCCTTACATATATATTTATGTGGAAGAACGAAAAACAAAAGGACATTTCGTCCGAGGACATTTTCTAAAGGACATTCTTGACGGATACCAAACATTCAGTTAAATATATATGAATCAATTCGTTTGACACTGTATTTTAGTTGATATATTTGCTGATATTTCAAACAATTAAAAAGGATGAATTTCATTAAATTCATCAAAGAGAGTAAGCACTCGAATGTAACTAGAGTTCTGATGCCTTTTCATCGCATAATTCTCAGTTGATTTAGTACACATTACTTCATATAAATAAGATAGAAGATGTTGCTATAAACCACAAAAATATGGTTAGTGAGAATATTATTCTATGAGTCTCTTAGTTTCCTTCGTCACAATATTTAAATAAACGTATTAGAAGCTCGAAGTATAGCATTCAAATAATATTCATATGATAAAATAAGTATAAATTAATGTGCAAAAAAAAACAAATATCAGATTCACAATTTCAGTGAGGCTCAAGCCTCACCGAGCCTCTGGCTTCCGCCGCCCTTGAAATGATATTGATATACTTATATTTGGTACTTATTATTGTTGATAGAATTGTTATATTAAAATTCAATGGATCAGTGTATATATAACTAAAAATTAGACAGTAAGAATAATCTTTAAAAAAAGACATGACATTCCATACAAGGATAACATCCATTATATAATTCGTAATCGTTATTGAATTATTGTATTTATAGCATACTGTTTGTATCAAGTTACAAATGTAATTTTGGAAATAACAAACAGGATGTGATAAGTTTATCTATGATAGCATTACAATCTGCATCGTAATAGTTAACTATGTTGAATATCGATTATATAGAGTGATTACATTACATTGTAATGACTCTGTCATTTAAAACATAAACGTCTACTGTTAAAATGATTGTTTTTCTTTTTATATCGATCAAGTAGATTTTTTTCGACTAAATTATAGTGACATCTAGCTTAGTACCGAAAGTCAATGCATGAAATTATCCAATCCAGATCTATCCAGTTTCTTCATATAAGTTGTTTTCTTGTTGTACTTCTTTCTATTTTTCATTATTAATTAAAATTTATTCTAATAATTCCAAATATTGATTTTTTTTCTTTTTAGACATTTATAAATGTCAGAAAATCTAACATTCTTCGTTCCATATCATACTGGATATGCTCATGCAGAATTAATACAATCATTTTCTTCATATACCGATGTTCATCTATTTATCTACAAATGGAATCCAGCTTATGACTATATTAAAGAACAATTTTCAAATATAAAACAAGTTCATTGTCATGAATTTAGTATTGATAATATTCTATCTGAATTAAATGAACAAAAACATCGAAAAGTTGTTATTCTTCTAACAGCATCAACAAATTATTTATTTGGACAATTACAATTACGTTTATTTCGTACAATTCAACAATATAATCCATCAATAATCGATGTTTATCCTATTGGACATTGTATGTATGGTTGTCAAAGTTGTGCCTATGCATATACACATTGTTTACCAATAACATTTACAAATTATATGCAAACAAAAAATGAAAAATTAACATTAGAAAAAGATTATGATATTCTTATTTGTCCGAGTTATTCATTTGAAGGTGCACCATTCAGTCTTTTATCTAATCATGATATAATTGAATATATCGCCCAATTAAAATTTCCTCATGCTATTAAACTACATCCATTAGCATATGAATCTGGCAAACATCCATTTTTAGCATTAACTAAATTAGAAAGTAAACATGTTGAAGAATTATCTCAAACATCAAAAAATTTGATTTCAAATAAACAACTAAGTACATTAAAATTAATTGAACATGCTCGAATTATAATATGTGATTCAAATTCTTCGATACCATTCGAAACATTATATTTTCATGATAAAAAATATATATTTGTTTATGAAACATTAAATGATTATGATGAACAAGATGATCGACAGAATTATTTTCATAAATTTCAGAATGTTGAACAATTAAAGAATTTAATCGACCAATATTATAATCATCAACTTGAATGTAAAACAGAAAATAGTCATGAATTTTTTTTAGAAAAATACAGTGAACCTGATGGAAAGGAAATTGAACAATTAGCTGAAGTACGACAATGGACAAATATAGATGAACAAGATAACAGTGAAGAAAAATATGATAGAGATACAATAAAACAAGCAGTAAATGAGGAATTTAAATCGAATGTAACACCTATGGCATTGTATGTATTAGGTGATCATACAATGTCTGAAATAGTAGAAATTTTTTTTAATAATCCTGAAAATCAACTGTTTGATGTTATGCAAAGTAATGTCCATGATCTTTAAAACGATTTTGTTTTTGTTTTAGATGGTTAATATAAATGGCATCATCTAGTGAAAATGATGATGACACAATTTTTTATGATGCTAATAGTAGTTGGGCTGATATTGAAGTAACAACGTAAGTGAGAAATAATTTTTCCTAGAATTTTAGAGATAATTAAATTAGATATGTTTTTTCTCGGTAAAAGTATTGATATATTAATAATTAAAAAGTCGAGTAAAAACTAATTACTATCGAGCAATTCTTTAGGAAGAGAAAAGTATACTTCATCATGAATGAAGTTTATCTGAAGTTAAATATACACATCTGTTGACATTTTTTCATAGTGCAATATAAAACATTTTCATCTAATTATATAAATATTTATTCTATGTCGTTTTAATATTAGACCACTTCAACAAGATCCTCGATGGGCATTATTATCTAAACATGACTCATTAAAAAGATCTGTATGTAATAAATAAACAAAAATATCATATTTTGTTTTGATTATCGTGTATATATTTTCTTTTATCTCGTTAGGAATATTTTTGTACAGTTCCATTAACTGAAACTCAGCTACATAATATTGCAAGACGCGATAAACTTCGACGGTTACGTGCTCAAGAAGATCATATTAATCTAAATAATCAAAATCAACTTATCGCACCTGCAACATCTCCAACTGAGTCACATTCTATATTATCATCTATTCAATCACAGGAAATCGATGAAGAACAGTTAATAAGTACAGATTCATCAACAGCACCTGATCTTCTTATAGATCATATTGATAGTGAACATATACGTCGACAAAAAAAGGTTTTTATCTTTAATTATATTTAAAATTTCGATTTTTTCGACCTTTACATGGAGCCTTTTATTTTCTTTTCACAAAAGAAACTACGTTTAATATACAAGTAACGATTGAATATATTAACTCATGAGCCGCAAACTCAAGAAACTTCATATGAGTTTTGATAGTCCCTAAAGTATGAAATCAATTATAATGTATAATGTATTTATTATAGCTTTTATACACATACTAATCTTGCGTGACAGTTTTGCACGAAAAACAAACATTTTTAGTGGTAGTTAGCTACAATGAGCTGATAGAAAATTGATCAAAATTTGACCTCCAAGTATCATACCTGAAGTGAGTTATATGTCAGACAAAAAAACAATCTCGCAGGATATTTAGAGTAACAACTATATTTTAGTTTTTATTTCATAACATATTGTAACAAATATTAGCACAACTTTATCATCGTGTTCAGTTACTTTTGTCTTTTACCGACTAACTCATTCAGCACCAGCCCGATCAATTTTTAGATGCTTTGTTAAATAATAAAGTCATGCCCAATTTAGTGTAACAAAAATTTAAGGGTTGACTGTACCCATAGCATATAGAGAAAAAGTGTCATGTCATATGTCACGAAAACAACCAAGCAGTTTTAAATCTGATGAAAACATACTGTTAACTGTAACCTTTATGACTTTTAAAGTTCAAATAAAAGCAAAAACAATCGATTATATGACATTTTCTTTTAATAAATAGCAGTCAAATTAAGACTATTTATCTTTGTTTTCATAATATCTCGAGACCTATCGGAGATAAAATCGCAATTTTTCATTTAGTAGGGAGGATTTATCAAAGGATCCTCCCCTTAAACAATCATAAAGATCGAATGAGAGAAACTTGAGATATTAAACCTTTACTTATAAAAATCTGACGATAGAACAATTTTGCAATTCATTCGTATACAGAATGTCCCAAAAGTCATAATTAATTCATAGATTTAGATATTTACATTATTAATCGATGTGAAATCAAATATATTTTCTATGTGAATGAAGTTCGTAAATACTAATAGAAATGTATCACCTCTAACTATGATAGAAAAAACTGAGTGTTTTTATAAATAATAGAGAGCAAAAATATGGCATTTTCCTATATCTATTCCAATGATTTGTAAATGCATCATTAGCATTCGTTCTGCTACATTCTTATAGAAAGAATGGACCTAAATAAGGTCAATAATAATAGAAATTACAAATCTTTTTAGTATTCTTATTTCACTAAATATCAAATTTTTTGACTCTTTCATAATCATACTACTCTTCAGTAATGTATCAATTGAATAGTCTCATTTAGAAACTTTTGTACTATTATAAAAACGTAATTTATTCTCTATCAAAGCCAACTGTGATATATTTTCAACAGTATTTACAAACGTTACTCATATGAAAATAAATATTTGATTTGACACCAATTTTGTCATGAACGTATTTAAATTTTTTAAGTAGTCAGGTTTTGTGGAAATCTTGCGTAATAGTAAAAATAGAACTTCCATTTGCCATCTGTTCATTTACTAAGTGTAACGTTATGACTATTTAAATTCTATCACTTAAGCTTATTACGGAATAAAACGTAGGAAGACAGAATGTTATCATCTTCTCTTGTTAATAATTTTTTTATTGTTAGTAATTAAGTTTTACGGTTTTTGAATTAACGTATATTTCATAGTCTTCAATATCATCAACGCCAAAACAAACTGCATTATATTCATCACCTATAGTACCATTATATCAACAACAACGTTCATTTCCATATCCAACATTACCGGTTATATCATCTACTCGTAGTACAGGTGATTATTATTCAAAACTAACAAATCTATCTGCTATTAGTGAACCAAATATTGTTGATTTAAATCTTATTGATCGTCTAACTAAATTTGAAGAATTATCATCAAATAATCGAAAATTAAATGATGATGACATTTTTCGACATTCAACAACACATAATCTTGATAATGGTAAATATATTCCCATAACTGATGCTAATCCAATGACACAAACAATTTTGGAACGTGTACATGGTAGTGGAAGCATAATAACATTACGTCAAAATTCAATTTTAAGTAATAATAATAATAACAACAGTAGTTTAAGAAGGAATTCATCCGATAATAATAATATTAATAAAACCAATAATGTAGATATAAATTTGTCACGTCAAAGACATCAATTAAATGATGAAGAAGAAGAGGAAGAAGAAGAAGATGATAATGAATCGACATCATCCGAATCTTCAAGTACAAAATCAAGTCATACAATACCAATTTCATCATCATCATCATCATCAACTGCAAATAAATCATCTATAGCTGCTGTACGTGCAGCAACTTTATTATTTCATGGTGGTAAACGACAGATATCAAGATTAGTTAGTCGAAGTTTTTTACGTAAAGGTGGAAAAAAATTAAGACATCCGGATATAGCTGATATTGATGAAGAAGAAGAAGATAGTGAAAAATTATTAATTAATGATGGTTCAAATGGCGATCTAAAATATAAAGCATCAAGAAATTTAAAAGATCAACCACAATTTGATAAAACACAATTATTACAAACAATTGTTAATGCACATCATGGACCTATTTGGTGTATGAGGTAAGTTTTCAAAGAGCGAGAAAAAGAACACGAAAGTTCTTATTTAAATTCTAGATTTTCACCCGATGGTCATCTGCTTGCAACAGGTGGTCAAGATAGTTTACTTAAAGTTTGGGTACTTAAATCTGCACAACCACATTTTACTGATGTTTCTCGTATGACAGCAAATCCATCGCAACAACAAAATGAAATTTTAACAAAACGATTTAATGAATTTCATCAAACAATGTCATCAGAACAAACACCAATAACAATTAATGCTAAACTTGGTCTCAATGAAATGCAAGCTCCACTTTATTCAAAACCTTTTTGTGTACTTAATGCTCATCAAGCACCTGTACTTGATGTTGCTTGGTCAAAATCTTTATTTCTACTTTCATCATCAATGGATAAAACTGTACGATTATGGCATCTAAGTCGATTAGAATGTTTATGTTTTTTTCGACATGTGGATTTCGTTTCAGCTATTGCATTTCATCCACGTGATGATCGATATTTTGTATCAGCAAGTTTAGATGGGTAAGTTATTAAAAACAAAAAAACAAAAGATTAATTTTATTTAACATTTATCCAATTATAAATTTCATAATACAGTTCTGTGTGATCAAATTGATGATATATATATATAGATCGGTAAATACGTTGCAGTCAATTGTTCAGCTATAGATATTATTAATTAAAGTTTACAATTATTTGAATGTGAACTAGATATATATACTAGAGTCTATTTGACATATGACATTATGTCAATATAGTTGACTGTAGCGTTTGCAATGCTAACATAATAAAAATTTATGCTTTTTATTAAAAAAATCTTTTGCTCATATATAAATCTAACTTATTATTAAAAAACGTAAATGATCAAAAAAAAAAATAAAAACCTAAGTGCTTTTTTTTTGCTATCATGACAATTATTAAATTAATATAAATATGTACTTCCGACTTATAATTATTTTTTTCAATATATTTATTATTTAGTAAATATTTCTTTTTATATTAATATTAGACATGTTCGTTTGTGGAATATTCCTGACAAACGTGTAGTGTATTGGACATTAATTCCAGCTCAAGCATCATCACAAATAACTGCTGCTCAAGCTAATTTAATAACAGCAGTTAATTTTTGTGATGATGGTCGAAAAGTAACAGTAGGAACATTCGATGGTCGATTCTTACTTTATACAGATTCGTTACAATATGATGTAAAGATTTTTTTTTAATTTTTTTATTTAACTGAAAATTTTCTCTTTAAAAGACCGTGATGAATATTGGTGATAAAGATGGTAGTCGAAGTCATCGATCAAGAAAAAAACGTCGAAAACCATATAAAATTACAGGCATTGAATCGATGAATTCAAACAATTCAAAAGTATTTAAACAAATGTATTGAGAATTGAAATTTATTTTGTAAACTATCTAGGTTTTAATTACATCTAATGATTCTCGGATACGTTTATATGATATTCGAACAAAAGAGATTGAACGTAAATATCGTGGTTATTCAAATCAATCAAGTCAAATTCGTGCATCATTTAGTCATGATGATCGATATATTATTAGGTATAGAAATTAATAATTTTTTAGATGTTAATTGAATTTTTTTTTCTAATTTAGTGGTAGTGAAGATAGTTGGTTTTATATATGGAAAACTGAACCAAGTAATACAATAAATACGAATGGTAATAGTACAGCTAATGCTAAATTAACAAGAAAACAACGACGTCATTTTGATCGTGCTTTTGAACGTATTCGAGGTAAATTAAAAATAAACACAGCAAAAAAACAATGAAATATTTTCAAACTCTAATTTTAGTTCATAATACAATGGTAACATCAGCAATATTTGCACCGAATTCAATTGCTATAATGGATTATCTTTATTCATCAAATGTATCGTTATCAAGTGATAATATTTCTTTAACAAGTCGTTCAAATAATATAACTAATCTTCCTCGAACTGTTCCATTAACAACCCCAATTTCAAATAATAATCGAACACGTTTAATTTGTATGCATGCAGCACCAAGTCCAATTGAAACATCATCTTCAATTAATAATAATGGACCTATGTATGTTATGGTAACAGCCGACTCAAAAGGACAATTAAAATTATTAGTCAATCGATTTCATCGTTAAAAAGATAAAAATATCTTGTTTATTTTCTAAACAAAACTACAAGTTCATTTTGTCTTCTCAATGTGATAATTTTATGATAAAATAATCTCTTTTTGTTTTCTTTTTATTTCTCATTTCATGAAATGTTCTATTAACTATACAAATGTCGGAACAGTGATATACGTCGAATTTCATTCTCCCTTCTTCTTCTTCTTCTTCGTTTTTCTTATATAAATATCTCATTTTTTTGTGTTGTTGTTGGTAAAAAAAAAGACACGACCTATGATAAATGAAAACAATACTAGATCAATAATAACAGCAACCCTAGTTGTACATGACAAGACAAAATATTTAATATGTCTTTCAAATTATTTTTTAGTCCTTTCCTCTCTGTCTCTCTCTCTATATATATATATGTATGTATGATTATTTAATTATAATCTATATAAAAAGTATGCATATGCACACGAAAAACATGTATGAATAATAAGAAAACGAACTTTAATAAATGTTTTTTTTCTTATTCTAGAATAAAATTTTAACATCATTTTACTTTTTTTAATGTAATAAATGTGAGTGTAATTATTATTTAGAAAGAAACTTTGAAATGAATATCTTATATATGTATGTGTAACCTTTATTCTATATGGTTTTTATGCTTGTTATTTCATAATCGCCGATGGGCAATTGTAGTTATGTTCTACTATTTTCATACATTTCTTTCGATTATTGTTTGTTTACATCGACAACCATTTTTCATCATAACACACTCCTCTATGTACTTTATGTTTTTGATAGGTTCGACAAAAAAACATTAGCTAGGTTACGTATAGGGAATAAGAATATGGCATGTTGTTCGTGTGTGCATCAGGCAACAGCATGCGAACTATATTTTTGTTGTTGTGTCGCATCATTAGAAGTCAATAGCAGAAATAAATCGACGTCTTTATTTTGCTGGTACCATATGTATATGTCTATGAGAGAATAATTTTAACAGAAGCCTTTCTATTGGTAAAAACTGACACAATAATATAATGATTGTAAATATTTTTATTATCAACTTGCATTATATAGTTGATACAAAATAACCGATTACTCAATCATTTAAAAATATATATATATAGATATGAACAAATATTGATTATTGTGATAACTTAGTTTCATATTGTTCTTATGATCATTTGCATTAGTTATTGATATCCTTATAATTCATGCATTAGCTTTTCTGCCCCAGGATTATTTATCAAATGATGACGACAGGTGGTCGGTCTCACTCGATCTTTTCCTATTTCTCTGATCCATATGGTACTACTAATACCAATGACAATAGTAATTATTTTTCTGTTGTTGTTGTTGTTGTTGTTGTCAAAGGCGTAGTAGTAATGATGGTGGTAGTATTTTTATATTAATATATATATCTAATGTCGAAAAAGTAGAAAAATAAGACAGGTATAAAATATTTGTAGAGCGTTTTTTCGCGTAAACGATTGACGTCATCGCATGTACGTATCCTTTGTTGTAAAATTACTCGAGGGCCAAATCATGGAGTATACTTGAAAATAAGAATCGAAAAATGAGGGTACACATGTATTTATAAAAAAAAGAAGGGGATAAAGAAAAAATAAAGATATACTCATACATTCAAACGACAAAATAGAAATAAAACCATTATTTTAATTGTATGGCATATGTATGTATGATGTGCTATCCTGATGAGATGAGAGAGAGAGAGACATAGAGAGCAGAGGCAAAAAGAAAGTCGATGCTTACAGCAATACAGTGTTGTTATGTGTCAAACGAGTAAGAACCCTACGTACGTCATCATCGGCAGTAATGTCGATTCCTTTCTTTCGTTCTTTGTTTCTTTCTTCCTTCCTTTTTTTTTCTTGCTCGCGCTCGTTTACTCGCCTCGTTTTTCCTCTACGTGTGTTCTATTGCACATTCAACTGTACGAAGAGTAAAAGCAAAAAAAAAAGAAAAAGAGCTATAACAACGTCAGTGACGGCGGCGATACCCAAGTATCTATCATCACATCATCATCACTACTATTCTTCTATAAACTAACAATAGAGTGGAAATCATACTCCTTTATATATAACTTTGTTTCTCCAATAGATTATTTTCATTGAATCAATATCTCCATATCTATTGAGTTGACTGACCTCTTTCCTGTTTTTACATCATCAAATAATTATCCGCACCTGCTCTTTTCTTGTCTCATATACTTATTTCCTTTCCATACTTCAATCGTTTCGTCATCATTATCATCAGCAGCAGCAACATCATCTGTCTTTCAGAAACAGTATTATATAACAGATCTGTTTCTTTAAATCTAACTTTATATGTATGTATATAATATGTAACAGAGAATATGCCATTTCAATATTATCTTCAGATAGAAATAGCAAAATATCATTATGGACAATCACGATATTAATTTGTTTTTCGTCGATAGAAGATGATAATGAATAACGACGAAGTATTTATCACAAATCGATCAAATATTCGATTTCTATTAATAACAGCTAATACTGGTACAATATTTGAAAAAGTATGTATTACACATAGTTTTACTAAATTTAAATTTGTTTTTATATCTTGTTTCTTTCTTTTTCTCTTTTTTTAGCCTGAATTATTAACTGCATGGGTGATCGAATTTGCAAATGTAAGTAATGTAGACAGACTATCATTTATCATTACTATAAAAGAAAAAAGAAGAGTAATGTCGTCATTATTTCTCTATAGGAAAAAAAAGTAACGAACACAAAAAAAAAAGAAAAAAAAAGGAAAAAAAAATGTATGTTAAAAAAAACATCAAGAAATAAAGATAAACAAAACATTAGTGATATTAATTTATTAATAAATAAAAGAATCATGTCAAGTTTTAATAATTATTAGTATTCTTATCACTAGTAGCATAATTAAATTTAAGCGTTCTCATTCCATTTTTTCCACAATTACAAGAACAATTAATTTCATAGGATGGTCCATGCATGTGTTGAATCAATTCTTCAAATAATTGTTTCTTTGTACTAGGACATTGATTTATATTCATTTGAGGAATAATTTTTCTTGCCTAGAAAAAAACATTTAAATACTTTTTAATAAACCATATGACCTCTATTTTTACTTCACATTGACATGTACAATCAATAAAACATGTTTGAAATTTATCAATAACAATTGTATCTTTTTTTAATTCTTGATTTTCTATTAAACAATTTTCATTTTGTTTCTCATTACGACACATTGCACCTACATCAGACATTGTTGAGGGTTTATCAACAATTGTACATCGTTCATTTACTAAATTTTTATCTTTATAATAAGTTTGATTCGATGAAGATTTCTGTAAATCTACATCTGATAATGCATAATGAATAAAATTTTGTTTAAACCATTTATTAATAAACGTCGTCATATGAAAAATAATAGAAAAAAACAAATAATAAGATAATAGTATTTTCTTTTTCTTATTTTGGCGCAGTTGAGTTCTTATTATTAACTTGTTTTTATTTTTTCTATTTTAGCTTTTACGATCGCATCCATCCGACTTTATTGCATTACATTTCCAAGAAGTCGGAGGAAAAGATTATGAAACATATATGTATATTCTTGATACATTTATCAAGTAATTTAATTCTTATATTTAATTTCATTATAATTTGTTTTTTTCTCTCTAATAGAAATATTCTTCAAGTACCAGAAATTTCTACAGATTATACTCGTTATCGTTTATATTTTGATTCGGATTATACCTCTCAGGATACATTTACAGTAAATATTGATTTTTCGAAAATAAATCAAATATAATACTTAATCTTTATTATAAGGCTCTTGGTTCGGCATATTTTATTCGTCAAAATATACCTATTGAACAATGGAATTTTCCAAGTAACATTATTTATTCCAAAAGAAATTGATTTATTGATTTATTTATTTGTTTTTATCATAAAGCTTCATCTTTTCAAAATGTTGTCAATCGTCAGATTTATACTGGTAACCTGATCAATGTTGAAACACTTCGTAAAGAAAAATTTCCTCGAGAATTTTTTCCTGAAGTAAAGATTGATTTAAAAAGAATTCAATTAATGTATTTATTTATTCTTTTCTAAGGCTAAATGGTCTCGAAAAGGTTTTACTCAAGCACGTTGGTCAATAAATGGCTTGTAAGATAATTTCATGATTAAATCCTTGAAATTTTTTATTCGTTTTATTTAAGTAATTTTGACATGATCAACGTACATCTTTTCCACGATGCATCAAATATTTTGGCAGTTGAACAGAGTCCATCAGTATATAGTACATTTCGTAAAAATGCTCTAGGATATACATTACGACAGTAATAAAATTCATGCAATTGTTTGTTTTTTTCACTATAAAAATGATTTATATTAATTAGTTTATCATTGAATTCTTCTGATCCACCTGTACCATATATAATATTTGGTGATTTTAATTTTCGACTTGATGCTCATCGTTTTATTCAAGTATTATTTTGTTTTTGTATTTGATTTTAATCATGAATTTTATTATTCTATAGAATATTGTTGAAAAACGAAATGGTTTAATAATTGATAAAATCAAACAAGCAAATAATAATGAAATATCAAAAATTCTTATACAAAATGCACAAAATAAAATTGAATTAACAATTGAAAAAAAAGAATTTAATTTACACAATGATCATGATTCATTTTTTAGTAATGATATACACCAGGTTAGTAAAATTGATGTTATAACTAAAAAAATAAGAATTTATTTGATATTTTTTAGTTTCAAATGTATGACTTTGAACCTTTATCATTTACTGATGATTTATATGAATTTCCAAAGGCTTTTCCACCAAGGTTTGTTATTAAAATAAATCAATCATAGATATAAATATTTTATTTGTTTCTTTAACTTATAATTTTAGTTATCCATATAGTGAAGAATTTAATGAACCTCGTGCTTATTTACGTGCACGTTGTCCAGCTTGGTGTGATCGTGTTCTCCTTAGTCATTCATTTAAAGATTTTGTTAATACTGAGGTTAGTTTCCTTTCTAATTTAAGTTCATAAGATTTTTTTATATTGATAAAATTTTTAGATTACTCCACCAACATATGATGTTATTGGAAAAGATGTGTGTATGGGCGATCATAAGGTTCAATATATAAACTAATTTCCTAATGCTTTTTTTTTAATATCATAATGTTATTATTTAGCCAGTCTATTTGGCATTAACGATTTATCCGGTACAAGGTTGGTCTACATCCCCATTACCTTTGTCCAATAGTGTTTCTCCTTCTTTACCTTTTTCTTCGAATTCTGAAGATTCGAATGCTACAACTAAGAATAATAATATTGATCAAACAAAATCACTTGTCACTGTTATGAGAGAATTAGATATGAATCTAAGATCATGTATTATTTTGAATGAAACATCATTATCATCAGATGATATTAATTTGTTTAATGTTCATGATTATGCGATTTTCACTCAACCAACAGTTTTACCCGAATGTTGGTTTGCTAAACTTCAACAACGGCCTATTAAATCAGTACATGTAACAAATAATAGTAGTAGTGCACTATGGACAAAAGTACGAGCTATAACATATATGACAACATTAGCTCATCGAACTGGATCATGGTATTCAGATGATCGAACAGAACATTCTCCAGTCGATGATGAAGCATCATTATCGGATAATGATGAAACTTTCAATAGACCAAATTTAGAATTCAATGATGTGGAATCTTGTAGAAAACCTGATCTTGCGATACCATTACGTCGATCATTTAGTTCAATTGATTATGTAAAACATATTGAAACATATACACCAGGAATGTGTCGAAGTCGTTCTACCACACTTATTAGCTCATCTGATCAACCATCAGATTCCTCCCCTATTGAATTATCACCACCAATAACACCATCATCAATAACAATACTATCATCATCGTCACCACCACCATCAATACCAATACCAATACCATCATCATCACCATCACTACCACCATCGTTACCACCATCATCGCGATCATTACCACAATCACCTTCACGTGTCTATCGTTTTCTTCATTGTATTATTCTTTGAATAGAATAATCGATTATCTGCGTGTGTGTATGATGTGTAAGTATTTACTAAACGATTAGATCATGCACAATAATATCTAGAGAATTTGGTTTTTTTCTGAAAAGCCACTAATTAAGTTTTCTTTTCACAATTGCTCGTTACACTATTTCTCTTAACAGTGACGGGCTGATTTTGATGAATGCAATTTGCTCGATGCTTGCGTGTTTTCTGTTTGTAATTTCATATTCAATATATATATCTATATATATATATACACTGATATCTATTTATAAAGAAAAAAGATAGCAATGTATCATATTACAATATATACTTGTACTTTTTTGTTTGAATAATTAATGTTACTCCTTTTTTCTTTCTTACGTAAAATTTTCGCATGTTTTTATGTTTGAAGACGGTACAACTTTTAGTTAGAACTATCTTCTTAATCTTTCTCTTATTCTAGCAGATATTCATGATAATGAATGATATATCTAATGGCATTGCAAGGGTAAATACAAATTCCAGTCTCATTGTTGTCATATTAGATATAGAAACCTATCACCACATTTCCTTTCTTAAACTCACAATACTTGTTCTCTCTAGATATTTTTTCCCCTATAACAATACTAACATTTCCTTCGTCTTCTGCTAATTTAGATTTATTTTTGTGGGTTTATTATTTTATATATAGAGATATTATTTGGTGTTTTTTTTGTAGTGGTAATGCTGTGCATTTATTATTTCATAAATAATTTAATCAATTAATTAATTAATTAATTAATTTTTTCTTTTCATAGGTACCAATGACAATGTTGTATCATTAAAAAAATTACTGTTTACTAATTGTACAGATGGATTAATTTCATCCAACAGAATGAATAATAATAAATCACAAGAAATCAATTCATCATTAGCACCAACAAAGCATTCAACATTCGAATTTAAAAATTTAAATAAGAAAAAATTAACTTCAATATCAATGCCAACAACGATTAACAATAATAATGATCATCGAATAATATTAACTCGTCATAGACTTCACGCAGATATCAAACAAACATATACTCGATGGATACGTGAGACACCGGTGTAACCTTCATTCTGTTTTTTTCTCAAATAATCTTGTATATTTGAATCTCTTCTCTCTTCTCTTCTCTTTTTTTTCTTCTCGTCTAGTTCATACATTTTCTCCCAATCTTATCTCTACAACAGCAGTGAATTTCACATCGTTTTACATTTTTGTTTGTGCATGATTGTTTATAATAATAACAAAGTAGACGAAGAGACAATATATATATATATATATAAATATATGTGTGTGTGTATGTGATCTTAGTGAACATCATTAACGACAAATGACATAAATTGTCTTTACATTTTAAAAAATAAAATAAAATTTTCTTATTTATTTCAAATAATATATCAATAAATAATTCTTCTTCTCATTCTTTATTCATATTGAATTATTAGTGATAGATCAACATCATTTATAGTCTTATATATATAGTTTATTTATACAAAAAAATGTCAATTACATAGTGCATGTATAGCTTATAAATTACTATTAGCTATAAACATAAAATTGTCTCTTACTAATCAAATATCCTAACTGAATTTTGAAAATGATCAATTTAAAATGTAAAAACAAAATATTATTGGATTAAATCTTTGCATATTGATTACTACTAGTATTCTACAGTAGTAAATAAAAGAATTGATTTATTGACAATAGAGAAAAAGAATATGATATTTATTTGAAAAAGCTCTCTAGTATATCGTATTAATATCGAACTATCTCAAATGATATTTCTGTTCTATTTAACAATACTGTTTTTTGTATATATTTCTGTTTTTTTGTCACCGTAGGCGAAAACTAATCAATTATATTTACATACCGCTTGATACCATCTGGCTAAAATTCAATCAACAATATAAGTTATGACAGATTTTCAAACGGTAGTTAATAAATAAACAATCATGCTTGTTAATATGATTGTACAGTTTCGAAGAACAAAAAAAACATACTCTTACGTTATATTATATGCTCTAGAAACATCTAATTTATTCAAGACTGTATATTGTTTCTTCCCCTTGAGATGTCATATGAAACGAGGAATAAATTTAGTTGATGGCATTTTGTTAATAAGAAAATATATTAACATTTTAAACATACACTTCATTCAGACAAATATTTCTTAAGTGTAATAGTCTGGAAAGTCAGCAATTGAAGGACATATCTCTATTACATAATTACTGATTATTATGATGTAAAACTATTTCATTTTTTCTTTCTTTTTAATCGTATTACGATTGAATATTTTAATCGAAAATAAATAGAATACAACAGATGGTATATTAAAAGATAATGGAATTCCTTTTAAAAATAAATCAAAAACGACGACGACGTAAAATAGGAATTCAAAATATAACCATGAATGAAAAATAATAAATCTGTTTTTATTTATTTCGGAAAGACAAAACAACAAATTTAGATGGTATGATATCAGGCAAAAATAAGTTTAAAATAATAAAAATTTATTTAAATGGATTATCACCTAAACCAACAGCTTTACGGCGTACTTCTAAAATGAAAAAAACTGTAAATTATATATTTTTTAAATAAAATCAATTAAACCTGTTCGTTCGTAATCATCATCATCATTATATCCATCAAAACTCAAAGTATTTCCCATACGTCGTCGAATTTGTTGTTCAAGTTCTTGTCGTCGTTGATATAATTCTCGGCGTTGAGATTCAAGTAAATAATCAAGAATTTCATCTCGTTGTAAACTATTTGAACGCTAGACAAAATATTATAAAAAAAATTTTATATAAAATGAATTTTAATGACTTACTCGTCTACGTGGATTTGCATCGATAATAAATACCAATGATAGTGTTAATAGAAAGATAAACGCCACTGTAATTGTTTTCATTTTAAACTGAGGTCAATATATAGATTTATCTAAAGAAAAATAAAAGATTTATATCTATATCTGTATTCTTTCATACAGCTTTAAATTGTTACTTAGTTTAACAAAACGCCTTGGGAATTCTACAACAACACAAAACAAAAAAGTGCTGTAATATTTGTAAGTAAAATCTCTCGCTCTCTTTCTCATTCTCCAGGAAATGTCATGAAACTTACTGGTGTATATCTAATATACCAATAACTAATTTAACTAAATACTACCTATATTCCTTTTTATAGCTATACAGCAACTTTTTTCTCTGACGCCAAATATTCTCTCCCACACATATACATACGTACATGTTTTTGTCTTCTACAATCCATCAGTTTCTGTTTACCTAGCTGCTTGTATTTTTTTCTCTCTGTTTTCTATTTGACGTTGACGACAATTTTTTTTACACTGAACTGACGAAATATGGAGCGACGCATTTTCGTCTCGATTACTTTGTAATTTAACAAGAAAAAAAAAATAAAAAATACTTTATTACTCTGAAGTCGTCACAAAAAGGTGGGATTATTCATGTATAAATTATTTTTATGTCTGGTTATTTAAAACTAATGAAACATTCCTCCTAAGCTTAAAGTAAATCAAATAGACGTGTTAAATTTTGTTACAATAAATGAATAAAAATACACGATTGTCTGTTTTTTTTTAGGCATCATTGACGTCAGTGGATACTTGTGCGTGATTATTTTATTTAAAAAAACTTCTTTTTTTTTTGTATATAAATATTAAAAAAGAAATTTTTGGCTGGCTTATACATAATCAAATAAAACAAAAATGTCACAGTCATCGATAGATTGATAGTCCTTCAAAGGAATGAGAAGACATAATAATACATCGGAAGTTCTATATGTATGTGCATATAAACGAACAATAGTTTACATTAAATACGCACGTGTGTCAATAGATAATGTATGATCGATCAATATATAAACCGATTCGGAATTTCATATCATATAATAGCTTACAAAAGGCAATGTATCTATAAGATTTCTCATCAGTACGAAATGCGAACAGAGCCGGTGACAACATGTGACATGAATATTAATTCAATAGTTCGTCGTTTACCAAATGGATGTAAGTCAGGTCTAATTATTTTAATCAAAGTAATTGAAACAAAAATAAGAGTCAAACTCTAGAAGTCCTTACCACCTGGTAATCATTTAATGTTCTTATTTTACAGTGCAAGAGAAAAATATCCTAAAAGAACAATTTAACTTTTCCGTATATTCTCAATCTAGTCTAATAGACATATAAATAGAAATATATATGTGTAAAACTCAATATAATGTTTTTTTTAAGAACAATCTCGAGAAAATATTTACTAGAAATGACGTAGAATGTATATAGCCTTAAAGAGTTTTTTATTTTGTACGTGGCGAATGACATTAACTCAAACTGATTTACATACAGATTTAACAAATTATTGACGTTAATGTTATGTTACAATTTTATTCATATAAATACGTCAATGCCAAAAAAAATATAAAATCAGTAGAATTTAATTAACGTCAAAATATGTTATTCATTTTTTACTTACCGGAATTTTGTAGTATTTTTTTAAAATATTATATTGCTCTGATTTATATACTAGTTTATATATATATTAAGAATTTTATGATGTCCCACCTACAAAGAATATGATATGCATACAAAAACTTTCTGATTCACAACCTCCCACTGAGAAATTTACTCTATGTCAATTGTTTTTACAAAATTATCTGTTTTCTAGAGAAAAGTCATGTTTTAAATGTTAAATAACTAAGTCATAACGCATCACTAAGAATCCTATTTCTTATACTAGAATTAAAAATAGGAATATACCGCAATGCTTAGTTTTATCATGTCTTCTTTTCATACCAATGTTCATATATTCTTGAATTAATAGAATATCTTTTGAATGAGATCAGACACTATATGAAGTATGATACTTATCTATACAAACCTTTATTTTAAAGTACACTTCAGTATATAGGAAACAAGCACCAACTTTCAAGAAATCCTTTTAGAGAAATTGAAAAAAAAAACATATTGTTTTGATGTTTTCTCAAACAAGACTGTAGGCAAATTAATCTGTATGCCTTGATTATATTCCAGTTGTCATATTTATTTAACATAGAAACTTATCAATCTATTAACTATTTGATTATCATTATTGAAAAAAAATCAAATTTGATTCATGATTGTGATTTCTATGAAAGGAACATACATGCCAGATAGAATAAAGCTTAATTATAATGATAGTTATAAGGAAAAAAATCGTCATTATGATTCATATATATGTATATATTTTCTGCGAAGATAACCTTTGTAAAATTCTAATTTATTTGATATTATCTAATGACATCTATTGATTTATGAGAATATATAGGATCCATTGGAAGAAGAATATAGAGATAGATATGAATGAATGAATATGAACGTTTTTTCTCCTTGGATTTATTGAATAACGAAACATATTAATAATACTATTATAGATGATACACAAAGATGTCATCCAACAACTCGTATTCAATCATCGAAACGATTAACAAGTTTAGCAACAACTAACGATTCAGATACATTATTTTCAATGGCACCTCGTTTTCATCGAGTCGTACGTAAAACACGACGAGATGAATCGGAAATTAGTCCATGTATTAAGTAAGATATAAGAAATTAAAATAATATATTGTACTGAAATAATTTCTTTCAGATATCTTATGTTTAGTTTTAATATTCTCTTTTGGGTAAATAGATTTTAACTAATTAAATGATTTTTGTTTTCTTAATAGAATTTTTGTCTTTGTTTTTGAAAGATTCTCGGTTTTATGATTGCTGCAATTGGTATATATGCTTGGATTGAAAAAGATACATTTGATAATTTTGGTCGTTTAACAATGGGTGGAACATTATTTTTTGATCCCGCATTACTTTTTGTACTTGTTGGAATTTTTATGTTCTTTATTGGCTTTGCTGGTTGTGTTGGATCATTGAGAGAAAATACGTGTTTGTTACTTTTTGTATGTTTAAAAATTATTTTTTTTCAAAAAAACAAATTTTATCTTATATTGTTTTAAATATTCTAGTTCAGTTTCTCTTTAGCAGTTATCTTTTTTGCACAACTTGCATTTGGTACATTAGTATTTATTTATCGAGAAAAAGTTTGTTTGTTGTGTTTTCTTCTTCTCTATTTATTTTTCTTAATTATAATTTAGGTTAAAAATGAAGGTGAAAAACAATTAATGATTATGATACAAAGTTATCGTGATGATCCAGATTTACAGAATATGATCGATTGGATTCAACGTCATTGGCTTCATTGTTGTGGTGTAAATAATTATCGAAATTGGGAAAGTAATACTTATTTTAATTGTTCATCAAAACTTGTTGGAAGTATTGAAGCTTGTGGTGTACCATCTAGTTGTTGTCGATTAGAATATTTTCATGTAAAAAAACAAAATTTCTAATTATTAAAATAAAATAATTAATTTTTAGAATAATAAACAATGTGGATTTGGAACATTAGAACCATCGGCAGTAAGAATTTTTCATATAAAGAAAATTTTAAAAAAAGATATTTTCGTTTGTAGGTAACACAGATGATTTATACAGAAGGATGCCTTCCGAAAGCGTCACAATGGTTTGAAAGACATATTTTACCTGTAGCAATAGTCATTGTTATTCTTACTGTATTACAGGTAAATAAGAAATCTATGATCTAGTTACATATTTATTTGTTGTATTTTTCTTAGATTCTTAGCATTTGCTTTGCACAAAACCTTCGTAATGATATATTGGCTCAAAAAGCGAAATGGACATGGCATACACATCCAATGATGCATTATTATCGAAATTAGATTAAACATTATTGTTACTTTTCAGAAAATATTTGTTATTAGAAAAAGAGCAAGAGTATTGTAAATATGTATGTGTATGTGTCTTTCATTCTTCAGGAATATGTTTATATACTAGAAAGTGACTATAGATCTGTTAAAGCAATTGTCTAGAATAAAATTAAATTTACTATATTACAAATCTATTAATTTATTTTAGCTTGAATACAAATATTAATTCTAGTAAAAGTCTTTTTTCTAATTCTAATGATGTGAAATTGTATTTGATTTAAATTTCCATAATTCTGTTCGTAATTGTGCAGGTGCACTTTTATTAAACATTGCTGATTCTGGAATATGTGAAGTAGTTACATATATATAACCTTGTTTGTCTTCTGAAAATGTATCTGGCCATCGAAGACGTTTATCCATTAATTTAATTTCATATGTATTTGTCAATAAATTACGTATTTTAATTGAATTATCTTGTATTGAAGTAACATAAAGAAGGTTTGGTTCTTTTTGACTAATCCATAAACCATCGGCGGGACCATTTTCTCCAATGATAGTAAATTGTGAAGGAATTTCTCTATTGGAATCTATTGAGTGTAGAAAAGATGTTGAAATAGAATAAAGAGTTTTGCCTTGAACAGCTTGCCAATAGAGAATAGAACCATCAATAGAAAGAGCAATTCCATCAGCAGACATTTCAATACTACGACCATCAGATTGTCGAACAGGTTTTCCATTGTATTCAATAGTTCTATTTAATAATAAATATAAGAAAATATAGGAATCTATTTAACGTATCTTACATATCTTTATCGACTTGAGTTGTTGAATGTCCATGAAGAACTCGTTTAGCTGTTTCTTTATTCAAATCAACAACAACAATAGCACCTGTTGCACCTGAATCAGTAATATAAGCATATTTACCATCAGGAGAAAATCGAATATCGTTTAAATAAGATCCTTGAGGTGCAATTTCTTCATTGAATAGAATAACTCGTTTTACTTCATTTGTTATTAAATCGATTTCAACAAGTTTTGGTCCGCCTTTCACAATGAAACTAGTGGCTGGAGCAGCTGGATCAAGTACATAAAGACTATCTTTAAATACTACTACACTTTGAACACAAATGAAATACTTTGATGGATCTAATTCATTTTTACGAGTATTTCGCCATGAATTCCATTGTGAATTAGGTGGAAATGGTTTACTTGTGTTATATGTAAGAACTTCAGCTACTGAAACAGGAGAATCTTCTGTCCATCGAGGAAAATTAACAAATATTCGACCAGAAGCTGGATGAACACTAACACCTGTTACTTGATGATCAAAAATTGCAACTAATTCAAGTTCTGAATTTTGTTGATCGTGTCCATTAACTGAGATGAAACCAGTTAAGAGAAAAACATAGAGAATTAACATCATATAGAGAATAATATTTATTGAATGAACCCGATAGAGAATAAACATCTAATGAAAGTCACGCACGAACAATAAACACGTGTATACATATACAGAAAAAGTCGAAAGGTTATATTTTTATCTTTTCTTTACTAAATACACTTTGATTTAAAAATATAGTTTTACATATATTTATATATAGATTAAGCTATTGCTTGATTTGGAGCTTTTGTTAAAAGATATTCATCACTAAGTGTACCATCGGAAAATAAATTCAACGAACGACCTGATGTACTATCAAATATCCAATGTGTTACTTGAAGACCATCAAAATCATAAACTGGATTACTTTGATGATATTTAATAGGTTGTTTATTTTGAAATGCTTGTATAGGCCAACGACGACTATCACCACAGATATGTCGTAATGCAACTCTTTTAATTCCTAATTCTTTAACAATATGTAAATATTCTTCAACTTGATGAATATTATCTTCGGTTAATACACATGAAAGTTTAATTGGAACATTTGATGCTTCTTTTATAATTGTTTTTAAATTAGGCATTTGTTTAACACCATGAAGTTTACGATAAGTTTCAGGTTGAAAAGAATTTATGGACATTGTACATGAATCATACTGACGAAATGTTTTCATTTTTGGTATAGCTAATAAACCATTTGTATGTATTGATAGATGAACATTAGGTAAATCATGACGTAAACGTTCGATTAATTTATCTTCATATTTATAAAGTTGAGGATCTGTTCTTGTACCAGTTAAAATTATTTTGGATGTTTTTGATTGTTCTATTAATGAAATAAATTTATCAAGATTTTCAAGTTTTTCTTTACGTAAATTATTTGGGGTTTTTAATAACTGATGACCTATGCAAAATGGGCATTTCTGATTGCATGGTCCTGAAAAAAGTATATTACCGAATTCAAATGGTTTTGATGTATCTATACGAGCCATTGATGAAAATGAACGGCGAGTTTGATGTGCTGGCGATTGTTGAATTTGTTGTGAAGCAAGTATTGAAGTTGATAATGGAACTGTTGATGATACTGGTGGAGATGAACTTGGTAACATTGTTCGACGGCGAACTGGTGCCGCTGTATCAGGAATTGGTTGATATGGACTTTGACCTTCTTTTAATGCTTTAATAGGATCAACTAAAAATTGTTCACCACCTTGAAGATTTAAAATATGATTTTTAACAGCTGGTGAATAAAATAAAGCAACAACACCACCAAAACATTGTTTACCAAGACTTGTCATTTGTAAACGTTGTTCTTTTTTATCATGTATCATTAATCCATGATCAATAGCAAATTGCATTTCAGTTGGAAATAATTCTTGTAATGGTATTTTAAAACAATCTTCAAATGCTATAAGATCAATACCACCATAATAAAAACTAACTGATGCCATTTTAGCAATAGCAGCTTCTCGTGATAAATGATAAAGATCTTGTACTGGTATACGATTTAATTCAACACTACGAATATATTGTTGTAATTTTTTTGTTACCGCACCTAAATTATATGATAATGTATAATGACTAAATGATTGTGCACCAAGACCAATACCAATATAAGGTACAGCTTTTCTAACTCGTTTATCCAAATAATCTGAACAACCAGAATTATTTTGAACACGTGAATATGTATTTTTTCCTGTTAAACCAATATAACCAGATTGATTTAATAATTGTCTTGCTTGACCTTCTTGACGATTAACTTGATCAAGTTTAACACGATCAGCTAAATGTGCCATTGATGTACCTTTATATCTCATACGATATAATGTAACATGTTCAGGTTGAAGATCAATAGTATCTTGGACAGTTTTTAACCATGGATCATCGGCTCGTGATGCACGTAATGGAAATCCATACATTAAATCAATATTAAAACTTTTAAAACCAGCATTACGTATATTAGTTACTGCTTTAACAATATAATCTAATGATGCATTTGCATCTTCACGATTCATTTCTTTAGCTTGACGAAAATCTGTTGTTTGTAAACCCATAGATATACGACGAATACCCATATCATAATATGCTTTAATTTTTTCTGGTTCAGCTGCAGCTATTCGTGGCGTTGTTTCAATCGATACTTCAGTTGTATCCCAATTTGTTTGAAATTGTTTTTCAACACGTTCCATTAATTGTTGAACATGTTCTGTTTTAGCCATTGATGGTGTACCACCACCAATATCAAATCCAATTAATTTTTTATCTTTTGTATTTAATAAATTTGCATACATATCAAGTTCGGCGTAAAGTGCAGAAAAATAATTTGTTTGTATATCAATATTTTTGCCTTGTTTAGGATTCACAACTGTATATTCACAAAATTGACAACGTGTTTGACAAAATGGTATATGTGCATAAAGCATCATTTCTGGTAATGAACCGTATGCTCCATAATAAGTTGATTGAATATCTTCTTGATCACGAAGTCTTTTTATTCGATATGGTCGAATAGTAGTATTATGAGCAATTGGAAATGCTGTATTACATATATGATGATGTTTCATTCCTGCTCGAAAAACATCTTCAGCTGGATAATTTTTTTTATCATCTTCAGTTGATTGTTGCCATGTAAATGATGATGAAGTAGATAGATTGAATGCATGAGACTTAGATGGTAAAGCGGTTGTAGATTTAAGAAATCGATGCGAAAGACACTGCCGAGCTGATGATAACATTTTTTATTTTCTATTCAACGAATGCTTGTGAAATTATTTGAGAAAGACTATTTAATAGGGGTGCAGGCGCGTGACACGTCGTCATATTATTGCACAACCAGGCTTTTAATGACTAACATATGACAATATGAGTTATATTTCTCACAAATTATCGGAGAATGAAAAGAAAAGAACAGTCAGCTTCAGATAAATATTCGACAAAATTGCACAATATTTTCTAAAACAACATAATAATCTACATAGCTTCAATCGTGATTTATAATCTATACGTTCGCCTAATGTCGATAAATATGAAACAATATTTACATATTTGTTCCCATGGTTTTGGTTGAATGATTCTGTTACTATGACCTGTTAAAATATTGAAATATGGGTAGGCGAAATCTTATTTTATTAAGAATACATATTTATTAAAAGTAGTAAAATACAAGCGAATTGTTGACAAATTCAATAAATCATTTTAAGAGTTTTCTTTTAATTTTACTTATTTTGTCGATTGGTATCGCTATAGAAACAATTTTAGTTGTTTGTCATTATGAGTCATACAAGTGTTGTTAAAGCGCCCCGAAGAAAAGTTTTTTTTTGTGCTCCACTTTTACTTATTAGGTAAAAGGGTTGTAAATAAATATTGCATTTTATTATGCTTCTTTCCATATAAGGAATATAAGGGAAGTATGACTAATATTATGATTCTACGCATATATTTACGTCGAAAAAAAAATTTTTTTCTTCTCGAGATAATACAAACGCATAGAGATGCGTCTAAGATGAATCAACGAGTGTTTATAGCATTTATCATACTACAAATTCAAGTCAGTGTTTAATATAACAAAATTGAGACGATTCATTATATATATATATCGAATATTTACTATTGAAATCAAAAGCATATTTAATATCATCTAATGTATAAATAAATATATTAATCATTAAAGAAAAAACGTAGATTGATTTCGATAATAGTCTATATATATCATATGTGAACTCATTATTTTTTTTATTTTTAATATTTGCTTTTGTATGATTCTAACGATACTTTTAAGTAGACAAAATGAAATATTCTACTATTGCAATCTTTCTCCAAATATCATACTGTTTTTTTTGTGGCTTAACTGATTATAATACGTTGGAAAAAATAAGTATCCAATATATCAAAATCAATAGTGACGTATTCTATAAATGTCATTTAATTATATCGATAGAAGGATAAATGGTATGATTAATACTATTTAACTATCAATTCGTGTTTGAATTCGATCATATTCAATTAAAAATGCACCTGCTTCTAAGATCATAATATGTTTTCATAGAAGTATTTTGTATTAAATATTTCGTATCTGTCTATCTCTGAAATAGAATCATATTAAAACCCATTGTACACGGTAATAGCATAGATTAATACCAACTAGATTTATTATCAAAAAGGATTTATGTAAATGATAATAATTTCTTATAATATTTTTATTCCATCGATTTAATCTTTTTCAATATTATTCGATTTAATAACGAATAAAAATTGAAATGAAAGAAACAGTATATCTCTTTAAAGATCATTAATTTTGTAATGCTCCAATGGAAAAAAATATGTAACAAACTTATCGATCAAGTACTGAAATAATTATAAGCTTTGATATAATATATGTATGGTTTTATGTAGCTTATGTACAAAGAAATGAACATAATAACAAAAAAATAACAAACTGAAAACAATAAAAAAAACTATAAAACTAAGCATGCATCTTAACGATGTAACACTTTTAAAACTCTTTGTTGTTCGATATTAAAATCATCTTCATTTACTATTTAAACGTTTTTTTGGTTTGCTTTTTGATATTTTTCGAGAAGTAGATGTTGTACCATCTATATTAGCAACCATATCATTGAGAAAACTATTGGTTTGGATAGAATTTGAACTATTTGAAGTCATATTATCCATACCGATGTTTTGGATCTCTTCTAGAAAAATACAAATATAGATAAATATTATATATATTTAATAAAAATGGAATAAACATACGATCTATCGTATTCATATAAACATATTTTGAATGACGAAGTACCATATCTTTGAAATTAACAGTAATATTTGCTCTCACACGAGGTATTTGTGGTTGTAGACATGGAGGTAGTGTAAAATAAATAACATTACCAATAAGTATAATTTTTTTAATTTTTTGACGCCAAACATCGTTTTCTTCAGAGATAATAATTGATATATCACCTTTAGCAATACGACCTTTAAAAATGATAAATATCTTCTGTTCTTGATGCATCGGTCCATATTGTGGACCCATATGATCAATAGTA